ATAATAGACCAAAAATATATAAGTTTTATTTTCCCGATTTTTCCCGATTTTGGCTTATTTTAGGAAAATTCCCGATTTTAGCATATTTTTGAGAGAATTCCCGAAAAGTCTATTTTTATGACAAATAATCCCGAATTTAGATATTTTTCGACAAAAATTATTTATTTAATAACTATAAGATTTTACCAAAAGTCTTAATAAAATTCTAAACTGAATATAACTAAAATTAAAACATGTTTTGTAATCCATAAGATGTCTTACAAAATATATATTGATTATCTCCGTCAAAGTCTAGCGTTCTTTCTCTAAGTTTAAGATTATTCTTAGAGATAGAAGACTGGAAAAGCTCAAATTTTATATCATTATCAAATATAATTCATTTCTAAATGATTTATATGTACGATGATTGTGTAATAATTGAGTAAAATCGTATTTCCCGAATTTTCCCGATTTTGACCTTTTAATTCCCGAATTTGGATGTTTTTACTCCCGGAAAATGGAAGCTTTAAAAATCACTAATAAGTGGACACATAATGTTGTACATGTGTATGTGTGTTATAGTGTGGGCCTTAAATAGGGACCAAATTGGATCACTTTTGGTACATTAGAGTTATTCTGGGATAATGTGTACAATATACATTACACATGTATGTGTACGTATTGTCGGCAATGTTTGTGTGGAAATAGGGTTACAATTATTAATTTATGGCTTAACAATGTAAAATGAAATTCAATTATTTCAAAAATAGATGAAATATAAATTCAAAGTAAAAATGCAATTTTTATATAAATATGCATATACTCTATTGTCTAAAAATATATTGTAATAACTTTATAATAATTATAGTAAGTTATAAAAAATATGTTTATTATAAATTAATGAATCTAATGCAATATGAAATTATAAATTACATTCATCATTTATCATAAAATTAATAGGATTTATATTATGTTTATCAATATTAAACCACATTATTATATAATTTATCTCTGTCTATTGGATATTCAATTGACGTAATTAAAATAAAAATCCGTTTTTGCTATACAACCATGTGATTTTTTGTCATATAATTTGCAATTTATCAAATACATAAAAAATAGTATAAATATAAGAAAAAATATGAGAAATTTAATTCTAATAGATTTGACTTATAAAACAATAGAAATGTTTAAGATCTTATTGATTGCCGTAGTTTTAGGAGTTGCGGCCGCACAAAGAGCATCAATCGGTTTAACCGGTAATGCAAACGGACAGTTCGGTAGTATTGGTGCTCCAGTCAATGTGGGTGCATCTGGCCAAGGTGGTGTAAACGGTCAGATTGGCACAGGTGGTCTAGGACTAGGTGCCGGCGTTGCCAATCCATTCGGTGGTATCGGAAACCTGTTTAGAGCTTTTACTCACATTCCGGGCGATATGTTATCCCAATTTGGCAACATTGCTCAGATGGGTGGTCAGGGATTGCAAACCTTTGGTAACGTTGCAAATCAAATCGGCGATGGAATAGGAGGTGTCGTGAATCAAGGAATGGGAGCATTTGGTAATGTTGCCGTTAAATAATTATTATTTGTTAATTTATTTAGTTAATTAATAATTTATAAATAAAAACATTTTCTAAAGGTAATTTACCACAAATGGCAAACCAGGGATTTAACCTTTTCGGATCGATTCCCCAACAAGTCGGTGGTGAGTCTTCATAGTAATTTTTATATTCAAATAATTAAGAATATAATTAATTATATTATAGGTTCCTTTAATGGCTTAGTGGGTCAAGGCATGAGTGCCCCTAGTCAATTGTTTGGTTTGGCTCAAAATGGATTTAATCAATTAGGCAGTATGTTTTATTTAAAATTAATTGCATACAATCTAATAGCAAACAGGAAAACATGCTTGGTCAATTGCAATTATAATATGATGATAACTTAATTCACAATTATTTCTCATTAATAGATGGCCAACGATTTGCCGGACAAATGAGTGGTCTCGCTAACCAAGGTATACAACAGGCGATGAGAATTCCGTCTCAACTGCCCGGTATGGGTCGACAGGCAACTGGTTTTATTAACGGCGCTCTTAATAATGGTCTGAATATGGTTTCAACATTTCCCGGACAATTGTCAAACTTTGGACAACAAGGTGTTGGCTTTGCTAATGATTTGGTCAATCAGGGTAGTCAGTTCATTAATCGATTTCCAGGTACTGCCTCTGTGATTTGTTATTATTAATAGATTACAGCCACTGTAATTAAGTAAAATTCTCTTATTATCTTAGATAATAATAATATCAATATTATAATTATTAATAAGTAATTATAAACCAATATGTATACATGTATAACTGTATGTACTAAATATTGACAATTATAATTTGTTACGTTTAGTATCAGGCTTTGTCTCACAGGGAGGAAGAATAGTGAATGATTTCTATAGACCCGCACAGGCTCTTGTCAATACTGGTCTCACTCAAAGTCAACAAATACTAAGTAGAGTGCCCGGTCTTGTAACAGGTCATTTTTATTACAACATCACGATTTGTAAATTATAATACGAAATTATACATTGTATTTGTCAACTTTAGACTCCATCACCTCAGGGGGCAAATTGGTCAACGATTTGCAAAGACAGACACAGGGGGTCGTCACTCAAAGCATCGGCAGATTGCCCGCTCTCACTTCAAGTAATTATATCTAGATAGTACAACAATTATATCTAGATAGTATTTTATACAACAAATACATTTCATTTAAATATTTTTTTTATACAGGCGCTCTCTCTCAAGGTGGTAAATTGGTAAACAATTTACAGGGTTCTATCACCGGTGCCCTCGATCAGGGTAAACAAATCGCAAGTCAAGTACCTAGTGTTGTCACCTCAGTTTCTAACGGTCAGTAGTTTTATTGTTTTATTATATGAACAAAAATTACTAAATGTAATCAATACTTGTAATCATTTCAGACGTTATTTCAAAGGGAACTCAAGCCCTGAACGATGTGAATGGACAGGCAATTACAGCAGTAACTGATTTAGCAAATCAGGGTAAACAAGTAACCGGACAAGTATCTGATGCCGTTTCTGGTACATATAAATCATATTTGTTGATTTAATTTTAATAATTTGCTTACTCTATAGATATTGTCTCACAGGGAACTGCTTTGGGAAATGACGTCCAAAATAGTATCTCTGACCTGAGCGGTACGGCTGACGACTCTTTAGGCTTTTCGGGATCAGTGAGTGGCTCCGCCTCTACCGGAACCGATGACCCAGAGATGTCAATTGATTTCTAAATCTATATTCAAATTCGTTACAATTATTTTTAGACTATGTTACATAATTATATAAATTGATATAATGCTTTGATTTCAAATATCTATTGTATTTTCTAAATATAGTATATTATTTTAATGTCAAAGAGTAATTCAAAACATTTAATAAATTGTAAGTGAATTTTATAGTAGTGTTTGAAAAATTACAATTTTTGATTGCCAGTGTCGCACAAGTGCCGTTAGTGTTGGTAGTGCTCGTGTCAATAGAGCCTTTGCAGGCATGTTATTTCAAATAACTTATTTGTCATATACAGTATACAATGTGCATATAATATATTATGTACATTTATATTAAGCGAGCAAAATCGTTGTTTGTCGTTATGTATTTTAAAAATAACAACAAATGCCTTAATATTAATTATATTTAATTAATTATAGTTTAAAATGTCAAACAATTGATTCAAATGGTGCCGATGCAGTCAAAACTAATCCAGGGCACTTTGGCACATGCACCAAAATTTCAATTACTATTTAACAACTTTTAATATTTGAATGCATTAGTTTGTTAAATAGTAAATAACAATTTTAATTTGAAAAATATTTACTCAAAAAAATAATAAGTGCATTATTGATACAAACATACTCTAGCTGTAATGTTTTATGAAACAGTACATTTAAATAATTAATTAAATCACATATTTTTATCTTTACAAAAAATTTCTAATTAATAGTTATGTTTTTGCTTTAATTTCAATGGCAATAAAACAAGTGTTCAATTAATTAAACATATCATTAAATATTAGAAAACGTTTGCTTTTTATTCACGTACTATGATCGTAAATACAATTGAATAAAAAGAAGCAAGACAAACGTAAGTCGAGTAATGTATTTCTATGAGAAACTCAAAGTTTTTATAACTCAAATATTACTTGCTCGATTTTGACAAATTATATATCAAATTGTTCAGAATCAAATATGACTTGATACCAATATCAGGATTTTTGTAATAAACCAATTGAATAGAATTATTTTGCTCAGAAAAGACAAATTTACGAAATCTCAATTGCTTGCCATTTAAAATGTACTTGTTCAATTTTAACCACTAGTATATCAAATTGTTCATAATTATATAAACAAGAAACAATTATTATTTGTATGTTTGATATTAACTTAACATATTAAAAATTTACATAGAACAAGTAACTACCTGGTTATTATAATGTAAAATTAAAATATTATAAACTTGACAAATTAGATTCTTTCTGTATTAAATTATGAACAATTTGACATAGTGATTGTTAAAATTGAACAAGTATATTTTAAATGGCAAGCAATTGAGATTTTGTAAATTTATCCTCTCTGAGCAAAATATTCTTATTCAATTGGTTTATTACAAAAATCCTGATATTGGTATCAAGTCATATTTGATTCTGAACAATTTGATATATAGTTTGTCAAAATCGAGCAAGTAATATTTAAGTTATAAGAACCTTGAGTTTCTCATAGAAATACATTACTCGACTTACGTTTGTCTTGCTTCTTTTCATTCAATTGATTATTTTATCAAATTCAAATTTACAATAGGATGAATTAATGCCACATTGCGTGCTTGATACTATATAGGGTTAAATAGTATCCTGTTTAGTCGACATATTAACTTAACAACATTTTCAATACTGTAACTATTACTTTGAATATAAACTCCATTATAATTAAGTTTAAAAAGTTAACTACAATTAAATAATGAGAGTTTTAATTATACTGATTATTGTGTCCGCAATAAGTTGTCAAGAAGTTAATAACACATCATTTAATGGGACGGTTAGATGTTTTTCTGGTCTACTCAATAGATCACCAATGAATTGGATTCAAGACGGTATTCATGTTTTACATTCCAGAGAGAGAGAGAGAGAGAGAGAATAAGTAAGCAATGTGGCAAAGAGAGAGAGAGAGAGAGAGAGAGAATAAGTAAGCAATGTGAAGCTCTTTATCTATGTAATATCCTTTGATCTTTAGCTGTGACGACAGCAACCAATGCTTTGGGTTTGGGTTTTGAAACCGTCGGTCAATGGTTTAGCTTTGGCTTAAATACAGCCAACCAATGGGTAAACTCCATCAGAAATCCTAATAATACTATTATTAATAATAACATTAATTCTGGTAATTGAAACTTATTATTGTATTATTGTTAAATTAATAAAACTGTAATATTTACAAATAATTTAGACTTTAATGAATACAACAATTTTATTTAATGTAAAATTGAAATAATATGTCATAATTATAGATAACACAAACACATCGTTAAGACGATCGCAAAACATTCAACAAATGCAGTCAGAGATAAGCAATTTGAAGAACCAATTGACCAATAGATTCACATTCTTTAGAAGAGTCAAAGAAAATCGTCTTAAATATCTAACAAATTTGTTGAGTCAATTACAACAAGGTCATCATAGTGTAAGTGGCATCAATAATAATAACGGTAATAACAATAACAGTAACGGAGTCCCAATATTAAAACCGGTGGATGTGAGTAAAATTAACTTTACCATACCTACCATACCTATTGTTAATCCACCAGCAATTATAGCACCTGTGATGCCTAATAACACCGTTATTAATCAAACGCAAAGTGATGACATTATCTCTGTATTTAAATAATTACATTATATAAAAACAAACACAAATATTATGATATGCATTAATATTAAACTATTTGTTATGAAGTAACTTAATTTTGTAACATTGTAATAAACGATATATTGAAAAAAAGTAATAAGATAACTACAATTGTGCAAAATATAAATTATTGAAAAGTTAATTAATGTAAACTTTATTTTAAATATGCAGTGTTGTGTCAGTACTGTATGATACTGTATCACAAAATAAAAGCGTAATATCAACTAACTTTAAAATATATAGTAAACATTAATTCTGTTCAATGATTATTGTATGTATTTAACAGTAAAAACTAGTTCACTAGATCACTAGTAATCCTCAAATAACAAAATATTTCATAAATACTACATAATATCTGTAATTAAAATTTTATTCAGTGTGTTCAAATATATTGGCAAATTATATATAAAGACTTAACACTTTATTTAACACTTCCTAATGTCAAACACTCCCAACTTGGGGTATATGGATTAGTTCCATTGGACACTTTACCGACCATGGTCGTCCTTGAATAAAACCCTTTAATTCAATGCAGTACTATATCCACACTGTATAACGTATAGGCCTAGTACACTGTATTCCTTGAAACAAGGCTTACACAGCGATGCTATACGTTAACCACTATTCGGGTATTGTTCAAAGAATAGATTAGCATTGTCCATAGATTTAATATGAGTAAAATAGACTTTTCATAGATATAGCGCTAATTTCATAAACTTAACATTATTCATAAGATTAGCATTGCCATAGACTTAACATTACCCATAGGATTAGCATTTGAGCAGAACGATCTAATAAACCACATTATTCAATGCTGAATAGTGGTTAGGAATATACCTGAAAATTTAACGTTTCCATGGTGATACCGATCGCTATGAATTAGTATCATATCACAAGATAAATTCAATTTCACATCACAAATGATTATGCTTATATTTTTCTATAATGTATCTTACATATTTAAATTTCACAATTGAATTTATTTATAAAAATATATACAAAAATTAAATTTTTCCTTTAAAAGTCAATAAACTTTTGCCATAAAAAAGTTTATTCAAGTTTGTATAAACAATTATGGATAATTTATATTTCTTATTTTTAAATTTAATGTTACAGAGAAATTAATTATCTAGTCACTTAGATTCTAATCAATATTTAATCAAATATACAAATATTTTAAACATAGTATTTAATAAATATAATTAAATTTCAATACACGTTACAAACGGCACTCAATTATATTTAAACAATATTTTCCATCCATTATATAAAAAATTCTAAAAACTATTTTTGAAACTTTAATTGAAAAGCGAAGTGTTGTTTGCGGCCAAACATCAGTTATAGCCTATAACTTATAGGATTAAACCGTCATTTTTCAAGTGTATGATTGCAGTCAACCATAAAATATTGTCAACCATTTCCACACACTTTATCATCAAAAATAATACCCATTTTTCTCTAAGAATGTCTTAATCCTTATGTTTTGGACACCAAATGTGAAACATTTTATCAAAATACAGTAACAGCAACCCAAATAATAATAATGATTTTATTTACCAAAAGGCATAACATGTAGTATTTTAAAATATTGTTCAAATGTTCTACAAATTGTTTATAATTAGATTCATTCCGTAAATTAATTGGTAGATTATTATACAATTTAATGCAACTAATTAAACATAAAATCAATAATTAAACAGGTTATTGTCAATTAAATTAATTCTTATTTAATTAATTAAAATTGGTATCTATTAACACTCCATTTCTTGATGTTTGATTGAATTTTAGGTGATTTCGCCATATAATCGGTATATAATTGAAATTACATTTAATTTTTTGCACAATTTTAGTGCAGATATTTCTTTACAATAGTTCAATATTTTATATTTAAAAATTTTAGTCTTTGGATATCCATCTCTTAATTAATAAAACCGTTACTATAATTAAACGCAAAGTGTCCACAACATGAGAGTACACATACATGTGATTTACCTTAATATTTATTAATATTAAATAGTTTTAATTAATTAAATTTAAAAAATTCAAGGCAATTACAATAAAGTATGATATCTACACTGACTAGTGAGAATACGCAACGTATAAATTAATATATAGTGAATACTAATTTGAACTCAAATTGTTTCTAAGAAAATAATGATGACAACACCGTTGACCCGATGGACACATGTTTGACACTCAAGTGCCGGCAGAGGCAGAGATGTCAGCACCGGTTGGGAAGTCGAAAGTCGACAAAGAAATGATGTGAAGGTAAACTTGTGATAGAGTTTGCGCGTATATTACGATTACATTCTCATAGGATAAGCACAAGTTATAGCACA